AACAAAAGTAAGAGAAATTTAGGATAAGAATACGAACATGTTCTTGCATGAGGCCCAATGTTTATCACTGAAATAGTTGGGGGCACAGGTCTGTGCTACTCTTGTTTTGTGTGTCAAAAGCTGAAAAGTTTGGGAACCATTGACTTAAACTCTCCATTGTGAGAGGCGTGTTTACTTTAATTTGTTCAGTGTTAACAGGTTTATTGGAATAATGAACTTTTTGCCTGCTAATCATCAACACGTTAGCATTTAGTCCTGTTAGTCTCTTTGATGCAACTTCCTTGAGATTTCTTTTACAGTTTAGTTATTTCTTTTATTATTAATTAATTACCTCAAATTACAAAACCTCATTAAGTTTATCAGCTGAGTCATCAAAATATAAGAAGTTTGAGAAGCTTTCTATAATGTATTTCTTTGAGACTTTGTTTTGTTCAGTTTTTCTTTTTGCCTCAGGTCTGTTGTTTCATTAATACTGAACTTTTTTTTTCATAAATCTTTTCGCACTAAGGGGGAACAAATCAGTTCATGGTACATTTAGTTTTCTACTTCGGGCCTGTAGCATCCAAGCTCTCTCTCTTTTTTTTGTGGCTCCTTTTTCTTACTGCTGAAATGTTTCTCCATTGATTTACGGCTCTGACCATGAGTCATTGGTGCAGTGTTGCTGCTCAAGCTGTGCCCAACATGAAGCTCCAGCACCTCATTTTTCTCTGCAATGTTGATTAAAAAAAGAATAATTAATGTCTCTGAGGTGTTTATACACAGCAGAGTTCAGACAACAAGATTTCCCCTTAAAGAGTGTTATTGTCACTCGTCGATCTCATCCCTTTTACGTTTGCAAAGTTTTCCTCCCACTTGGTGTTCTTTTTATTTAGTTGTCTTATAAAGTGGAATTTAAATGCATTTTTTTAATTTGTTTAATAACTACAAAAATGRTTTAGATTAATAAAGTTAAACTTGTTCAAAATGAAAAAAATATATTAAACTGAAAAGCATGATAAGAGGTGGTAGACTTGTCTCAGATCTTGTCCTTGATGGCCTGAAAGTTTGACTTTGGTTTCATCTGACCAAAACTTTTTCCACTTATTTGAGGAAGAAACTCCAAACAGTCCAGTTTTTTTTATTTCTTTAAGCAACATGCTTTTTCTTACGGACTGAGTGTCTCATCTCTACAGAAGATCTGCTCAGCTCCAACAGGGTTATCTTTATCTTCCTGGGAGTTTCTCTGATTAATTCTCTCCTGGTCTGAGTTTTGGTGGACGATCATTTCTTGGTGTGTTTGCTGTGTTGACATCATCTTTCTAGTTCCTAAATATGGATTTACAGGAGCTCTGTGGGATATTCAGGGTTCTGGGGGTATTATTTTTTGTTGGTCTATACTTCTCTAAATCTTTTTATCTGACCTGTGTGAGGTGGTCCTTAGTCTTTAAGTATGGATATTTGACAGTTAAGTTGCTCTCAGGTGGAGCTTATTTAACAAATTCAGTCTCTTCTGAAAGTAATGGTTGATGCTTCAAGGTGAATGCACACACAGCTTTTCAGCTTTCAAGTTATTTAAAACTATTTTCTCTCATTTCATTTAATTAATCCGGAATATTTTTTGTATAGTGACTGCTTTAAATCAAATTAAAAATCTAATTGAATTKCTGTTTGTAAGCCAAAAACAAATAAATAAAAAGATTACCTTTTCTACCCACTGTATCGYTGAACTTGACATAAAGACCATTATCATGTGATACAAAAATGTTTTAACAGCACTCCTCCTCTTTGATCTCCCCTAACTCCTGCAGTGTTTGAGGAGCCGGAGGACCCCAGCGCTCGCTCCTTTTTCTCAGAAATCATCTCCTCTGTGTCGGACGTGAAGTTCAGYCACAGCGGCCGCTACCTGCTCACCAGAGACTACCTGACAGCCAAAGTCTGGGACCTGAACATGGAGAGCAAGCCCCTGGAGACATACCAGGTGTGTTACTGACCATGCATGAGGGGGCAATTCAAATYCCCTCTTTTGGGGAGCAATTTAGGGCTAAACGTTGCAAATATTTGTTGTTGTTTTTTTTAAAGATTTGAAGCTGCACGTGGTTCTGATTTTAACTAATGATCAAAAAATCAGGTCAGCTCACTGTGAGATTGTCAGTGCTTGTTGTGTTTAAAATATTTATTAGTGGTTCAATGAGTTTCTAAATTTGCAAGTGGATTACATTATGAAACAAATAAAGCAAATTTGAGCATGCACAACTTGTTACTTTAATTTATCTGGTGAATTGTGTAATTTAGAGTTTTACCAGTGCATCTAATGTGATTAAAAAAACAGTCTGGAGARATTGTCTACAAAACATCTCACAGTAGCTTTTAAAGTTGAAGTTTAGGAGATTAATTTACTGAATCGAACTTCACGGTCCAATCTTTGTTTTATGTTTACTTTAAAGAGTTAAATGATCCGACTCGTGTTACACTTGTTCATCCTACTGGGTGACAATTATTGTCACTGAAGGCGGGCTTTGCCATGCAGGAAAATATGCAAGGTTGGAGGAATGAATCACGGGCAGAAGGGATGCTTCACACAGTCACAGGACTCACTAATTGTTGGATTCTCCACAAACGCTTTTCCAGCTTCTTTAAATGGAGAACGTGCTGTTTGTGCATGTTTTTAATCAGCATCACTGTGGTCAACTCTGCAACTTTGTTCTGATTCCCTGATAAATCCAACTGTGCAGTGTACACAACACAACACAATTTGTGTCAATTTGATTGCTCACAAGAGGCCACACCAGCTTTTGTTTATTCATTTATGGGCAGCAGGGAGCGTTTATCAGCCTTTTTTTTTATACTCTGCATGTTTAGTATTCCTGCCGTGGGTGTTTGTGTGAACATGTGTGTGTTTGTGTGTGCGCCTGACTCTGCGAGGGCCTATGAGGCAGCCAGGAGTGGGAGGCTAAGATGCACCGGAGCTATTTATAGGCTGCAGAGCCTCCACTCATGAAGTAAAGCAGGAAGGAGGGATACCTTACCCAGCGGCTGACACCTAGATCTGCAATGCAGCATGGAGGGGGGGGGGGGGGGGGGGGGGGGGTCTGAGAGGAGAGAGTAAGGAGCGTGTGATGAAAGACGAGAGAAAAGTAAATGATGGAGCAGGAGAGCAGGGGAGGTAAGACAGTAAGTTGGTTAAAGATATCATCAGTTTAAGAGTTAGTTCTAAAATCCGACTTGAGGTAACAAGTATGAACAAACTTTTTCTAACTCAATATTTCTCAAACTGTTGAGTTTGGTTTTGTGTTCTGGTTTGTTTATTTTCCCACCTTTGTTATCAGTCATTTCTTCCTCAGTTCAGTTTTTACTCCTCAGGGCTGCCACACCTTTTTCTGCTAATCAGCTAATCGGCTAATAGCAGAACTAGCTTCTCATTTAGCGGATTAGGTTTTTTTTTTGCTAACTTTGGAAACCATTAGCAGACGATTAGCTTCTGCTAAATTTGGTTCCAATTAATTCCACTAACAAATTAATTACAAGTTTAAAACTTCTATTTTGATACCATTTTCCCCAAATTAAATAAAAACTATCACCCCAAGCAGTGCTTGATGTGTGACGAATACAAAAATTGACTAAATAAAAAATATGGTAGAGAAACTATTTGCTACTTGTTTGAGTAACTTGAAATGGTATTTATAAAAATGCAAACTCAGTCAAATAAATGTCTTTATTCTGAAAGGGGTAAACTGGAAGTATCACAAGTTAGAGCTATAACTGGTTTTAATTGGCCCACCTTTGAATTAAACCAATAGAAAATTAACAGCAGGTTTGCGCTGACTGTCTTAGCATTAGCTTCCACAATATTTTTTACATGTTTAGTGGATTGGCGTTAGCAGAATTAATTAACTTGTTCATTGGTTAGTGAAGCTAACTTTTTGGTTAGCTGTGCCCGCCAGTGTTTGTAACATTTAGCTCAGCTGTTTCTTATCACCTCGTTAGCTCCTGTGTATTTACTCAATTATTTTCAGTTTTGCCTGCCACGTCAGCCATTTTGTTTTGTTAAACAAACCTTTTAGGTTTAATTTGAGCTCCTTGTTTCGGCCTGAATTCTTGGATCCATTTAACCTCCTAATCACAATAGAGTTAATGTGTACAGCTGTTTAACACCTCTTTGGATGAGTCTGGAGGACTCCGTCCATGACAAGACACCGTGCAGGAGGCTGTTTTTTTTTTTTTTTAAATAAAATCACAGCGTACCTGACATTTGGATCAGAATATGAAAGAGAAAAGTCTTTTGAAGTCTGAGACGAAAACTGGCTTCACACCACCTACGTTACATATGCACGAGTGGAGTGTCATCATTTTCATGTTGGCTCCTCTGTTAACAGATAAGAGCACACACAAAGAAAATTTCATCTTATTAAAGTGGAGAATCTGTGACTGTATGGCTACAGTTGTAGCAGAAACCCAGTGTGGGATATATTTATGTTAAAATGTCAACATGGTAGTTTTTTTTATCTTTCTTCTGCTTTGAAGGAGAGTTCAGTCACAACTGGTTTGCTGGTTTCAGATCAGATATGGATTGTACAAAGCTCTGACTATTTATAACTCTTACCAAAGACTTTTTGTTTAAGATTGTCGCTTCTGCTCGGGTGGAAATAGATTCACAAATGCTGCTCACAGTCTGGAAGCATTTAAGTAAATGTCTGTTTAATGTTGTGCACTTTGTGTCCAATTTCTTAACATTAAGCTGAATTTTTAGGACAAAAAATTAGAAAGACATCACTCCAATTGGCTTACATGCCTTCCTARGGTTGGGCATAATCGTATCGTGTGCAATTAATCGTCAGAAAAACATTAATCGATTATTTTTTGGCACTTGACAATTAATACGATTAATGCCACCAGGCAGAATGACTGGATATTTCCCCGGTCAGTCCGCTCAGTGCTCCTCTCCGCTTCAAATATGACGAACATTTAAACAAAAGTTCTGTAACTTATTTATCTATCAACACAATTTAAAATTTGAAGTATAGCCTGAAGTCTGATTTTGACACAATTTGGAAAAGATTTTTTTACAAAGAGCAAATCTTTCCCACTAAATAGGTCATGTGACTAGGACATAAGGGCGTTCGGGGACTCCAGAGGATTAATCGTCAAATTAATCGTTATCGGCTAAATACCACAATTAATTGTGATTAATTCTTTTGCCAATATCGCCCAACCCTATGCCTTCCCCGCCCCCTTTAGCTAGGTAGAGGAGATAAACTGAATGACAGTAAAAAATAAAATCCTACATGGAAGTTACTCACCAGTTCAGAAAGGTTGAAGGACTGTGAATCACAGATTGTTCAGACAGGAACAAAAGAAATAAAGATTGCTCACTCATCCTCTGTTGACATTGTCTATTTTGACCCATGAAAGACCCTTTGGGGAAAACAAACAAAACCAAAATGTCCCAGGAAGTGATGAGCAAATGAGGCGACCTCAGTTTGACTGTTTACTGATTGTCAAACAGCTGTTAACTGGTGACTCTATGCAGAATGGTGAAGGTGGGGGCTTGATGTGGAGCACGGTGGCTGCAGGAAGCTGCAGATTTGAAGTGCTTGCATCACCAGACAGAGTGCTGACAAAGGTCGGATGGAGACACAAGGGAAGAGTTATGAGACTGTGTGTGTGTGTGTGTGTGTGTGTGTGTGTGTGTGNGTGTGTGTGTGTGTGTGTGTGTGTGTGTGTGTGTGAATTAAATGTTAATTGATTTAGCACAGTGGAAAAAAAAGGGGTTTAGATGAAACTGCGTTCCTGGGTGTTGTGTTGGTCGGAGCTGGTGTTATTTTTAAAGCGCTTCCTTTAGGGGGGACTGTGTTCCAACTTGACCAGGACTGATGGTGTTTCATCTGTTGTGAGCTTTATGTGTGTGTACGTCATTCATTTACAGTTTACACTCAAGAGTCAGCAGCTGGGAGTGAATCAGCTGAGTGTCTCACTCATCTCAATTCCATTTATTATGTGTGATTCTGTGTTTTTATCCAGGTACATGATTACCTCCGCAGCAAGTTGTGTTCCCTGTATGAGAACGACTGCATCTTTGACAAGTTTGAGTGCGCCTGGAATGGATCAGACAGGTAAATATTATATACAGTATATATAACAAAAAATACAAGTTCCCTGAAAAGTAAGAAAACAAACAATTAAATACATACATGCAGTTTCCACATATAGTATTGTGCATAAGTGGATTTGATTATTACTTTTCKTAGACATACTGAACTTCTTTCAGTTTTTTATTTTTAAAACTGGCTTTTTTTCCCACAATTTTTTTTTGTCAACTGACCTTTTTCAGAGGAATTTATTTTAAATATTACTCAGCTTTGACCCATGAATCATTAATGGGTAAAAAAGCTCCTAAACTCAAAGAACAAACCAACGTCTTATAATGACACATATCAAACCACAGTCAACATTTTTTGCCCCAACTTTTTCAGGAAACATAAAAATCTCAACTGGAAATGTACCATATGATGTTTTTGTGATTCCTGACAATTATAAAAYGTATTACCTTCAAACTTCCAGTTACATTTTATTAAAAGAGAGAGTTGTTACAATCTGAAGGGGATAGAAATGTTTGTGAGACCTAAAATTAGAACCAGTTTGAGGGAACAGAGTACTTCAGTCCAGGGAATTAAATTATGGAATAATCTGGAAGATGATGTTAAAAACGCCAGATCAATGTGTATATTTAAGAGAATAATAAAGGTTAATTTGTTGGAGAAATAAAGTAGAGATCGACCGATACAGGTTTTTGAAGGCCGATATCGATTTTTTTGACATCTGTCTAACCGATACGCCGATACGTGCAGCCGGTTTTTTTGGGCCGATTCTTGAAGCCGATACTACTTTTTCTTCCTCCATTAACATGATAAAAATAAGAATGATAACAGGTCTCAATTTAAAACAAAACAAAACAAACAAAAAAAAAACATTTATTAACTGAGCCTTGTCTGCTGCAGGCTGTATGAAGTGCTGCCACACAGGATTTCTTCTTTCAGCCCTTTCTTGAATTTTTTTAAAAATAAATAAATTCATGATTTATTTTATCTAGTGCTAAATATTCTGTTTTTATTTGTATATTAATCAGATGAATATATTTTTCAATTCAGTTTTTCAATTAAATTCAAAAATTTATTCATTTCATTAAAAAGTACTATATACAAT